TCTAGCCTGTCTAGGTCTCCCTGATTGGCAGCACGGCCTTCTGGTGTGTCAACCACTCCTCCCAGTTTTGTGTCATCAGCAAATATATTGAATAGTACTTGTCCCAGTACTGACCCCTGAGGGATTCCACTAGATACAGGCCTTCGAGTAGACTGTGTCCCATTGACCAAAACTCTGACTTTTTTCCTTCAAACAGTTCACAATCCTGGATTGTGAAGAATCACTCTTGCAGCTTTCATATAATTTTCAAAGGCAGTTCATCTCTTCTATCTTTCTCATTGAAATAACAAGTTTCTGTAGTTGTTATGATAGATAAAAGCATCATCATGACTTAATATGTCTGACTGATTTGGGGAATATGAAAGAAGTCTTGTTTCTTAAATATTATTTAATGAACTACTACTGAGACTACTTACTTTTCTCCCCTACAAGTCCCAAAAGCATATTGTCTTGGTAGTCACTAAATAAGCACGGTCAAATGAAGCCCTTGAAGCCAATGATGACTAAAGTTTGGAAAGGGAACTGCATACTCTGTGTTTCCCCAAGCCATATAGTCATTATCCAGAATTAGTTACTGGAGATAACTAATAAATAAGTATTATACAGGTCTAGCTTATTTAAATATAGAGTCTAAAAGTCTTACGTTCTGATGAGGGAGAATCATGTCCATGCATATATTTAAATATACCGTAGTTCTCTGGGCCTCTAGAAGTGATGGCAACTTATTTTTCATTTCAGAAAATCTATTTATGGAAACATGTTCATAAATTTCACAAGATGCTCAGATTTTGGTTCAGATTTTCATTTTACTTAGTACATGCAGACATCTATACCAACTCAGGACTACACAGAAAAGCGCTTCATAGCTCTTTTTCTATGCTTCTATCTCTATTTCCCATTTAAGTTACCACTGAGAAGTACAAAATATCAACAAATATAAGCAAATTATTTTCATGTATTTAAAAAGTACTGTGTGATTAAAACAAAACTAAAAATATTATAAAAATAGTAGCAGTAGTAGCAGTAGTAGTACTGTTGTTATTGTTGTTATCGTTATTGTTTTTATCATTATTATTGTTATTATTACTAGAGAAAAAGTGATGCCATTCTTAAATTATTAGTACTGAAATCATTGAGATTGGTGAGGGCAGCTGACATCACACTAGGGCAAATTGTTAACATCACCTTTATCTTCATAGCAACAGAGAACAGATAGAAGTGCACGTGCCCCAGATCAATCTGTCATCCGCTTGTTCAAAGAAATCCTTTCTCATGGTCCCTTATCAAATCACATCTAAAGCAAACAATTTCTCAGCTCGGTAAGATGTGGCTGTGTCAAAGTGATGAAATGAAAAGAAATGCTGTATGCTGCCAGGGGACTCAGCAATGACAGGAACAGGCTGACCTAACAGAAGTATTTTCTCTTCACTGAGAAACACGACCCCCAATGTAACATAAGGCAATAACAGCAGACAATGGTGGACTCCAGGTACAAATCATGCGCTGGAGGACACATGTTCCCACCACTGCTCCTCCAGTCCCTTCCTCCCACTACCTTGCCAGCAGCACCAGCTCTGCCAGATGTTCTTCCTCCTGATACAACCCTGCTGCTGCCACACACCCTTCTCCTGCCCTGTGAGACAGGGTCCAGGGCACCCCCGAGTCCCACACAGCATCAGAGTGCAGGTCCTTGTGCTCCACATCATGCTGTGGCACCTGCTCCTGCCTCCGAGAGGCAGGCAAACAAAAATCCTTGCAAGTGTGGGAATTGCTATTCCAGTCTAGGTAGTGTTTTACTGCTCCAGAGCAGTCTTTGGCATCAGCTATTGACAGGAAAGGCAAGGTGTTCTTTGCAAAATAATCTGTGTGTAGAGAATGGGTTTGGCGGTTCCTCAAGAAAGGTGGTCTTGCGGTTAGAAGCAGCAGGGTTAATGTTCAAATTTGCATTAATTTACTCTTCATCCTTAGAAATACAACATGGAGTGCTCTGAAGATCTATGGGAATATTGACCCCCTTTATAAAAACAGATATGTAATTGCAGTAGCGATGAGTCTCACAGGGTAATCACACATTTGCACTTTTTTGAGTCCTCTGGAAATTCTTGTCAGTACTAATTTAAATCCATCTGCTCTTCCTTACAGGACTCCATTTTGTCTATTTAGGAACAGCCAGCCCACTTGGTTTGTACAGCATGTTACTGTTCTTACATTTGTCTTCAAATACTAACAGCCTCTACTTCTCAAACCTTATATGACAGCTTTTCCTATGCTAGATACTGTTTTTATTGCTAGTATTTTAAGCCTCGCTTTTCTACTCCCATCTGGTTTTCAGCGTGGTAAATAGACATGAGTACTGTGTTACATTTGAGTAGTGCCATTGATGTGAAAAGTAATCAGAAATATTTTCAGTTGAAAACATTATGCAATTTACATTTCTTTTTCACCCAAAAAAGGTTTTGAAAAAGAAATGTTTACTGACACGTAAATAAAGTATTTAATTTCTGCAGTAAAGTACATAAAAAGTTGTTTCCTACCTTGTATTTTTGCCCCCATTCAAGACTTCTAACGGGAATAAATATGTAAGCATATCAGAAACTTATCAAAGCATGGCAGACAATAAAAATATTTCCATGATCTGTTTGATATTGATATTTCCAATGTTTTTTTTCCCTATGTTTCTTAATCTCATGATAGTCTGCTTTCTTTTTTAATCTTAACTTCAAAGCAGGCTTTTTTATTGGTATGGCCACAGAGAAGCTCCTGTCTTTTCAATGAATTTTATAGCTAATTTAGAGACCAATAAACAGGTTTAGTCTTCTGATAATTATTCTTTCCAAACTATACAACAACAACATGACACAGCTTCTCCGAGGATCTGCGTCATAAAGAATTAAATACAAAATGAGGTTTTATTCCTCAACACATGAAAGGTAAAATAAATCACCCATATTTTTCTGTCTTCCAGGGTGTTTAATAAAAATGTCTATTCTGTATGGAAGGAGAAAATTATCACAGTTTTATAGAAAAATTAGAAAGCATTCCACCAAAGCAAGAGTATTTGTTAAAAAAAAAAAAAGTATGCGGGTGTCTGAAGAGAAATCCAGGTGAATAATACTCAAACTACCTAACTACTAATCCTAAATATGATAGATCTGAAATCTTTCTTCAAAATCAAGCAGAAAATTTGGATTTAAGGAAGGAATCACTGAGTAAAGTTTCATGAACTGAGGTCTACACTCTTGTAAACTAGGTATCCCCTTCAGGTCTAAAAATATTTGACATAATTTTTTAAAAAAAACAAGTGAGAATGAGAGGACCACTTTAAGTGGGGAGTAAGGTTATTTAAGGAAGAAACGATTTTGTATAGTATTGAAGATAAGAACTAAACTCTTCTTGAATATGTTTCAGAAGGAGAGGTGGCTGGCAGAGGGATCAAGCAAAGAATACCTTTCATGTTAGGTCTAAGCTGTTTTGACAACCTTTCACTGTTACTAGAAAGAAAGTAAGCATCTCCAGTGGGTGGGAGGAATTACTATCTGAATACACCTCTTCCTCTCACAGAGTCACAGGATGACCAGCTTACTACAGGTACCAGAGACGGATGAATTGCATCTAACCTGAAACGGGACAGAACAGATCAGAACTACAGTTTGAGAGGAAAGATGTAAAATGTTACAGAGTCACAGAACAGGAAGATTTCAGCTATTGGTATGGAAAATAGAGGACTTAAGGGTTTTCATTTGCTTTAGAGAAAAACAGTTGTTCTTAGACCCTGTGAGGTAAAAAAAAATAGCAAGTTGTATATTCCCTTGGTTCAGAGGGAAAAGGAAAGAAATAGGCAGAAAATGTGATGGTTTCTTCAACAGAAAATGAGGGCAATCAGGAAAGTTTAGAAAAGAGCTGAGCTTCAGCCCTGCTACCTTCAGGCTGAGTTCAAAATGTAGAAAAAGATATATTAGAAAAATGTTATTCAGCTGCAGATAGAACATGAGGAAGGAACATGAAGGAACAGTACAGCTTTAGTTTTTCACTTTAGCAACAATACAAGAATAGCAGAGATGATGTAAAATACAAGGCAGAGAAGAGCAGCAAGTTAAAAACACAGTCCTAAGTAATCCCCACAGCAAGAAGTGGGTTTTCTGCAGGAATGACTCCAGAGGCAGTGAATATGAAGTACTTGAAGCAAGAACTTAAGTACTTCTCCTGTGTCCACAGGCATACAGAGCAGCATGCGATAAAATCTGAGTTCAGAGAGGTCAATATATACTTACTATATATGCTATATACACTATACATTTGGTATATGCATGCATTTATGTGTGTGCATGTATATACGATGACGTATTATATTACTCTTTATCCATGAAGTTCTGTGTGAATTTTTACTGTTTAGAAGTCTTCCTCTTGGTCTCCCAGGCATGCAGGTGCTGAATAGCTTAAGAAGCACCTGATTAATAACTACATACCAATGTGCAGAAGTGCACATTATTATCATATAGATACTTATGCAAATAAAAATTTCTAAATTCATGTTAGTTCAGTCAGCGTATCTGCCTAAATAGCTACACCTGTTAGTTTCTATCTTTCCATAGTGATGAATTATAATAAAAAACCTTTAGCTTTATCTTCAGTTCCAGTTTCACTGACACTGTCTGAATAATATTTTTCATGCTGACACAAATATCTTGCACATTTATCTCTTTTCTATTCATTTTTTCCCATGTCCAAGACCTTCTTTTACAAAATAGCTGACAAGAAATGGTCAAAATGCACATGCAGTAATAATTCCATAATTTCCAATCAGACTTTTGGAGAAAATATATGGATTTATAATTTTAGAGAGATGTTAATCACGTAACTAGCATGACTATACTTTAATCCTCTGCATTACACTGAATCACTAAAACTCAGCTACACATTTTAGCCCTTCTATTGCTGACCTCTAGAGATTGCCCCTTAAGTGTGTTCTTTTAGAACACTGAAATATATTCCTGATTTGACCATATCTTAAGACTGAGTAGATCTGAAATACAGATTCTTGCAATTTTTCCAAATTTTTTGGATCAAGGTTTCTAATTTGAGCAAGTTCAAATTTCTGAAACTTGTAAATTACAAGAGTAATTACAGTGTCAAGACATGTTTAGAAACAAGAATTCAGGCACCTTAGCAACTGAAATATTTAAGTTTAAATTTTCGTCATAAAAATAAAATATTTAGGATTTTATCCTATCAATATCAGTAAATCATCATTGGCAGCAATGAAATACAGTTGAGACAAATGCTCATTAAAGAGTGCAGAATATTATCTAAAACTTTCTTTTCCTCAGTCAAGTCACTGGATGTATTCAGTGAAAAGTAAATTTCAAACACATACATTTCTAGTTAAGTAGAAACTATTTCTGTACATTACATTTGTGGATGTAAGCACACTCTGAGCCCTACAATTTATCTAGTCAAAGTCAAATGAAATCCAAACCTCATGATATTCCAAACCTTTTGGGTTTGGTTATGTTTCTGGTGAGACAAAACAGCCTTTGTCCACCTGCCTTCATAATTAGTTCTCATCATAGAGTTCTCCTGCAGTCGTTGTTATGTCCAGTGATACAGAGTAGGATTAATCCCAGGTAGCTTTAGGCCTTTCAGTTAGGCAAATAATCTAAACTAGTCATCATGGGATTTCTTCCCCACTGCATGGAAAGAGGTGTCCACCTCCAGAGGTCAATTTCTCATCAATCCTTAATACCTCTTTGAAGACAACATGCCTGTCTTTCTGTACTAAGTAATTAGCTTGCATTAGCCACTTCCCAAGTGGCTATAATTGGGTTGAAATATCCCTGAGGAATCTACAGTCAATCTTATCAGCTCCTTGTATCTTGTAAATACAGTTATGGCAAAGAATAATTATCTTATATTTTAAAATATGATTGCGGGCTTTGCGGGCAGTGAAAAAGCAGTAGTAATCTAAATCCGACAACTCAAAAAAGCAATGCAATTTGCAAAAGGAACAGCACAAGGTGTAGGCTGAGAACTAATCTTCTAAAGTCTTTATTCTAACAGATGTGAATAGAGAGTGGTTTGAGTACAAAACATCCTTTCAAATCTTTATATATTTCTCATGCAGTGCCCTGAGTTAACATTGATAATGTTCATCGATTTCAGAACATTATCAGTGCTAATGTTCAGACTTGTTCAAACTGAATAACACAATATGTCTACTGAGAAATTCTGCCATTGTTAACAACATTGAATCTATGCAAATTGTCTGTTTTCAGAGTATGTACAGCAGTATTTCTAGCCATCTGAAGGGAGATAAAAAGAGCAGGATAACTTTATCACTGTAAAAATTTAATTGCTACTATTATATTTTATTACCAAGTTAATGATGGACAAAGTCTTTTAGCAACAAAGAGATTCCTATTTCCTGTATCAGTGAAATAAATCAGAGGTTAAGATACATATCCTGAAAAGCTGATAAAATTATCTGAGCCTGATGCTCCTGGAAATGGATTAATCTGATATCTATTCAACTGGCAAATTGTTGTTTGTGTGCTTCCTGGAATAGACACAAAACAGTGAACTGCTCAAGCCCATTACATTATCATAGCTAATGGTAGCTTTCAATTTGCTGATCCAGCTAGCCCAGAAGTATAGCTTTTAGAGTTCCAAAGAAATCACACCCTATTAGTAGCAATTAATTGGCTCTATAAACACTTCCAAAATGGACTTATTGAGCAGCATGAAGATAAGTGGAAGTTCTCTGCTTCATTTGCTTTTCTTCCCCTACAGCTTATATGAGATGTTTTTGCATTCCAGTTCTCTTACAGGATGGATAATCGAAAGCATCATCCCTACATGGGAGCAATTTCTGCTGCTGGAAATGTTAATAAGAGAGAAATTTTAAGAAGCCCAGATGCCATCAGAGTTTTGCAGTGTCTAGCAGACCTTTGGGAAATGTCACCTGAGCTCAGTTTAAACGAGGAAATATTTCAGATTTAGTGAAATAGATGTGACCACTTGTGCATGACAATCTCTGGCAGGCAGTTGGGCTTCATAAATACCTTACTTATAGGAAAAAAAAAAAAAGCACAGATGTAGAGCACAACTGATCCACCTTGATCACACAGAAGCCACAGGTGTCCATTCTCTCATGCACTACCTCTGACCAAAGTTTGCAGCTTGACACAACCCCACAACAACAGGAGAACTTTCTTTAACAGGAGAGCAGGTGATGTTTAAATATCCTTACCGGCGTTGTCTGCAGAGGCGGCAAACTGAATCTCAGGAGCTGTGTTTTCCACATGCGTAGAAGCTGCCGGTAGTCCCAGAATGAGTTGATCCGCGTCACTTCCCGCTGGTTGCTGCTGATCAGACCCAGCAGAGCTGAGGACCAGGAGAGGTTTGTTCTGCTGCCCAACTCCATCCTTGGAGAAGCTGTGGTATTTCCAATTCTCCTCTCCAAAATGGGGACTAAAAGTCTCAAAGGGTCGGCTCTGCTTGTCAGTCATTTTCTCCCGGGGCTTCAGATTTTTCTGAGAGAAAGTGCCACCCCCCTTGGCACTGTAATTGGGCCCATGAGCAGGCAGTGGGCTTTCACTCAGCAGGTTTTTCAGCTCTTGCAGGCTTCTTTTAGAAATGTCATGTGCCCCCTCAAAGAAGTCTGCAGTGCCGCCTCCTTGAGTGGTTACAGCACTGCCCAGGGAGCCTGTCTTTGTCAGGTGGAACTTGACAACTTCCATCCCACCCCATTCCTCTTGCTTACCCTCTGCCTTCCCACTGCCCTCTCCCCTGTGGGTTGCCTCTGCACCCCCAGCTTTCCCCCTGCTCCTGGCAGGCTGCACACCTGCGGGCTGCTCCACCTTGCCTGGCGTATCTACTTCCTCATGCATTTTTCTTATTACTCTTTTCCCATTGTCAGCGTTTTCCTGGCTTTCTCGTGATTCTCCAGACATGTCTTCTTTCACGTCGCTGCAAGTACTGGAACCTACACGACCCTCTCTGTCCTTTTGCACTGGAGAAAAACCAGTCAGGTTTTGAAGAGGCTGGTCTGGTGGTGGTTCTGTGCAAGCAGTGGTTCCTCGAAGGGGACAAGGATCTGGCGTTTTTGAGGTGTGAGACAGCTCCATCTTCTCATTTTCTAAAGGATGAACGTACTTTGTAGGACCTTTGACTCCCTTTTTCTTTCTGAAACCACATATATTGTTGCCATCAACTTCATCATTGTCACTTTCAGATGTGTTCTGTAACCAGCAATAAAATATACAACCAAATAACATGCATGAATGAAAGGGAACATGGCAATGGAGTACTACCACCAGCTGCATTTACCTTGTAGCGCTTCCATTACTTCTCGATGACAGAGGTCCCTGTGGACACTTACTGACTCTCAAATTCTGCTGTTTTGATTTTTTAAATTCTCACAGAATTATTTCTTATATTTTAGAACAAAACTGATGAAAATGCCTTCATAATACAGATTTTAGGTAGATTTAGTAGATTAAAATATAAGACATTGTACACTGTGTGACATAACTTTCAAATGTTCACTTTAAATGTGAGAAAAAATCATTTTAATAATTATATTTAAATATAGTTTTGGTCATGTTAAAAGCATTTGTATTTATAAAGGAAATTTATTGTCCTGAAACACAGAACACTATCAATTCTCATAAGTGTGGGGAATGAAACCTGAAAATAAATAGCTTTTATGTGAATTTCAGAATCTAATTTGGCCAAATAGATGAACTTCCAGGGCGGTGGTGAAAAGGACGAACACATATTTAAATCTGCAAGCAGGAAAGAACTAGAATATGATGTTTACCTTTATATATGACATTGATATGATTTATATTGTAGTGTTGGCAGCAGATTTTAAAATGGATATAAACTTGTGGAGAAGGTGTGAAAAGGAGCTAAAAAAATTAATCTGTTTGCCTGATCCCAAAGAATAACAAGAAGTGTCTGATTCATCATCCTTCCTAAGTATCCTGATCCTACCAAAAGTGTGATTAATGTGATGGTAACCGGGAAAAGGACAGGAAATCAAAACCAAATACATCCAAATTAAAAAATAGCAGAATATTATGGGTGATTAATTATTTCACAAACTATCAAGGTAGGCATTGAATTCTCCAGCTCTCGATGTCTTTAAAAAGATTTTATAATACAACTTCACCAAAATATAAATCACTCCATAGCTAATCACAATCTGTTACAATGCTTGTTAATATCTGCTCAACCAGTAGCTTAATCAACAGTGCTTTGTTTGCTTGGGTTGGACTGGAATTAGCACCTCTAAAAACATGGGGAAATCAAGAGGTATCCTCTGAATGAGACCGTTCTTTACCTTTTCCACACAGGAATAATCTGCACTCTCTCCAATATCTGAATTTCCAGAAGAAGTAGGGATCTGCACAAAAGCAAAGTGAATGCCAGTCTGGGTAAGGCAAAAAGATTCCTGTTGGCAGAAAAAATCACGTAGAAGAAAAGGCAGCAGCATCTGTTGTGCATAGGGAAGCAGTTACATGGCCTCCAATAAGGTCAGTAACATCTCACTTTTTCTAGATTATTCCTCCTTATTTTTCCTGTTTTCTCACTATTCTATTTTCCATCATTATCTATTTTAAAAAAAAAAGGCTTATGACTTCTAATACACAGAGCTCACAGAAATATTTTCTTCCTCTCTACTCCTTGATCTAGGTTTTTGTGCTGTGCTGTACCGAGAGCTCCTTTGGAAGGTCCCCAGGGCATTGCTGGCAGGGTGCAATGCAGCTGCCCACCAGCTTTGCAGGCAGGATAAGCCACCCTGTGCCTGTAACTTCAAAGAATCACAGAATCACAGAATCACAGAATGTCAGGGATTGGAAGGGACCTCAAAAGATCATCTAGTCCAAACCCCCTGCCAGAGCAGGAGCACCTACAGTAGGTCACACAGGAACACGTCCTGGTGTGCTTTGAATGTCTCCAGAGAAGGAGACTCCACAACCTCCCTGGGCAGCCTGTGCCAGTGCTCTGTCACCCTCACACGGAAAAAGTTTTTTCTATTACTTTTGTGGAACCTCCTACGTTTCAGCTTGGATCCATTGCTCCCTTGTCCTGTCATTGGACACTGCTGAAAAGAGCCTTGCACCATCCTCCTGACACTCACCCTTCACATAAACATTTATGAGGTCACCCCTCAGCCTCCTCTTCTCCAAGCTAAAGAGATCCAGCTCCTTCAGTCTTTCCTCATAAGGGAGATGTTCCACTCCTTTCATCATCTCTGTGGCTCTGCGCTGGACTCTCTCAAGCAGTTACCTGTCTCTCTTGAGCTGAGGGGCCCAGAACTGGACACAATATTCCAAATGTGGCCTCACCAGGGCAGAGTAGAGGGGCACGAGGACCTCTCTTGACCTACTAGCTACTCCCCTTCTAACACACCCCAGGATGCCATTGGCCTTCTTGGCCACCAGGGCACATTGCTGGCTCATGGGCATCCTGCTGCCCACCAGGACCCCCAGGTCCCTTTTTTGGGTCAGTCCCCAACCTATACTGGCACATGGGGTTGTTCTTTTCCAGGAGCAAGACTCTACATTTGCCCTTGTTGAACTCCCGCCCATTCCTCTAGCCTGTCTAGGTCTCTCTGAATGGCAGCACGGCCTTCTGGTGTGTCAGCCACTCCTCCTAGTTTTTGTGTCATCAACAAACTTGCTGACAGCGCTCTCTAATCCCACATCCAGGTCATTGATGAATATATTGAACAGCACTGGCCCCAGCAGTGACCCCTGAGGAACTTCGCTAAATACTGGTCTCCAACTAAACTCTGCCCCATTCACCATAGACTTTCATGCAGGTATCTTGACAGCGATGTGCTTGTGATGCCCACATGCAACCAAACACAGTTACTGGCTCATTCACAACAGAAATCCTTGCTTACCTCAGATTTAGCACTCAGTTTTAACCAGTCTTTTTTCTTCATCTAAAGGCTTTGGTTTATTCCCATAATACGCTCTATCATGGCACATAAAACAATTCTGGATGTGTTGCTGATACCTCTGCACATTCACCCATGCAGAATAGGCCTAATTCCTACAGCTCTGCATAATTATGGAATATAAATGTAATGAAAGAATCATAGAATCATAGAATGGCATAGGCTGGAAGGGACTTTAGAGATCATCTAGTCCAACCTCCCTGTCATGGGCAAGGACACCAACTCTCGACTAGACCGGGCAACACATGAAGACCAAGCGGGAATCGAACCCACGACCTCGGTGTTGTGGGGGAGAAACAGTAGGGATGGAGGAACCAGTGACTGCCAAATGGAAAAACCCAAAGAATTTTGAAATAAAAGAGGCACCACATTAAATTTCTAGATATATAAAATTATTTTTTAGAGAATGGAGAGAAGAGTTCCAGTTATAAAAGCTGTAGTAACAAAAAGTTTGAATTTTTAATGAATTTATGAAAAATATTTATCTAAATACCTTTATTTATCTAAATAATGGTGGAAGTTGCCATCATTAAAATATCTTGATTTCCACTTTATGACGTTTTCAGAATTCTTTTGTTTCCTTTGAATAATCTGAAGCCAGTAACACAGTTGTAATGCCACTTGCATTTCTGCTTTGTAATGTATTCCACTCTCTGTACTCAAAGACAACCGCTGAAAATTTTGACGTCAGACTAAGTTTTTGTTTGATGTCCCTATCATAGATGTCTGAAAAATGTTCAGTAAAATGACTGAAGGAAAGATGAGCAGATTTTTTTTTATAACGTCTGTATACTGAACTCAAACAAAGAGTAGTTCATGTATCAAAAGCAAAATGCCAGAAAACTACCTGTTCACACAATTAGCCATTCTAAATGGTGTCATGAACACTTGGTACCATCCCCACATTATAATCATTATAAAAACAAATTCCTTCTGAATAGAGATGAGCAGGATAAGGAGTTGTGAATTTGTTAATAGAAATAGTCATTTGCAACAGATGTGTCATAAATAATGTGTCTACAATAGTCTGCAAAGAGTTTATTTGCCATGAAGAAATTGAGACTATAGTACTGTATTTTGGTCATAGACCTGAAAGATATACTCTGCCTGTTGCTCTTAAACAAAGACTAATCATTTTTACCTTCAAATTAAACAAAACTCTTACATCTATACAGAGAATAACCTATGCATTATTTAAGGTCCTAACTTTGTGCAGAAGGATGACTCCTCTTTTCTAAATAAACTCAGACATTTATGGACTTTCATTTAGAAATAATTTGCAGCCTTTTCTGCAGTGAAGCAAACAAGGCTAGTTTTGTTTCAAGGTGCAAGTACAGAATCCCTGCATATTAGATGGTCATATGCACAAGCTATGACACAGTCTTGTTTGTCTAGCAGTTTATATGGTGTTTACCATCAGAAAAGGCCTACTACCTGGGTAAAGAGGGGAGACCACCCAGGGAACAGGACTTACAAATTATCTGCTTAACTTTTTATTTCTGGAAAGTTTTTTCTACAAAAGACAGGGATGATTAAGTAAAATATCAACTTGAAAGAGTTACTAGGCAAGTGAGCTGGGTAGACATCATGACTTAATTTCAAGGAACCATGTGTTCTGCTGTGTAGAAAGGAAAGCAAAACAGTCATGGCATTAATATAGCAAAAGTTCTGATTATTTTTTACTTCATTGCTGAATGTTCCTACAATTTTGTTGCTGAGTGGCAACAATAACAAGGAGATACTAAATCTACTTGAAAGTTCTTTTAGCCAACATTTGTTTTGGTATCATTCAATTTCTGTTTGCTTGTTTTCAAATATTTATCCTAAGTCACAGGTCTTGAAAGTATTGAGATTTGCTTCTCTTCCTTAGCAAGTGAACACTCAAGTGGTGATTCATATATTCCTGCCAAAAGGATTAGGTCCAAAATATAAACAGTGTGGGCCACATTATATAACAAATCGAAGATTTAGATTTTTCTCTCTAAACATGTACTTGATGTTAATTGTCATCAATATATATTGGTGCTCCCCCCAAGTTCTGATTTCCATCAGGACTTCTTGCCCCAGTGCAGGTACACCGATCCCTTCTGCACTGGAAGTTTACACCTGGTAAAGTTTCAGTAGAAGTGGACCAGAGCAAGTCCTGCAATAGGCAGTAAGAGTAGAGGGGGACTAGATTTCGTTTCCCATTATGGATAATCTCAACTTGTACAAATAACAGCTCAGCTTGTCTTCACTATATACCTATAGTGTCACCGCAGGTACACAGAAGTCTGAATGTCTGTGACGATCACCAGAGTACAAGGGCTATGCCTTACAGCAGCATATTAGTGAGCTATGCAGGTAGAAGGAGGAAAAAGTGGAGGACAGTATCACCAAACAACTATTTCAGCACTGTGCAGATGAAATTACTTGCTCTGCTTAACTCAATTATATGTCACCTCTGGCATGCCATCAGGTTTCTACAGCTGCTAGACATTTTATATCTTGTGGTAATGCAGAAAACATACATCTAAAGCAATTTTTCTTAATCAGTTTGCATTCACTTTTAGGCTTTGTACAAGCTGTGAAGTGGAACATTAACTGTATCATTACAGTGCTGCCAAAAGGCAGTTCATCAGCAAATCTGTCAATCTACCCACTGAGAACTTTTGGAAATGTAGTGTTGCCTTTGGGAGGAACAAAAAGTGCTAAGATTTCTGCTGTGTAAAACACAGGTGAAAATCCAAGGCAATTGTTGAATTTTTGCTTTAAAAGGATTTTACAAGTGATTGAAAATCTCTCTGTAGTGTTCTGTGAGGCGAAGTCGGAGGCTGCAGAGGAGACCTTCTATTTTTCTCCTACTTTTTGTTTGCATCATGGCCTCAGAGAGATTGCAAGTGCTGTGGAGGTTTATAAACCTCTCTCACAAAATGTATTGACAAAAGGAGACAGGAAAATGAGAAAAAGAAACTCACACTATAGCATTTGAAAGGGAAAAAAGGGAAGAAGGGAGTTGGTTTAGAAGGTGCTCTGAGTAACTGTAGATGAATAGCTGCAGAAGGATTTCTATCACAGAAAAAGGTGAAAGAGGCAAGGTACAACTCCAGCGGGAGCTTTTGTATAAATAATCAACAAGATAACCCAATGTTCCTGCTACTGGCTACTCAAAAAAAAGTGATGCAAACACTCAGTAAAATGCACTGGGATCACAGCCACATTTTCATTTTCTCTTTTGTTTCAGATCATTAACCAGTTTTAGCCGTTAGTCTAACTGATTGTTAAGAGGGCAAATTTTGATGATTCTCCTGAGTTGTTGCTAAAGATTTTTCAAGAATGAAAGATTAATTTTGCAAAGAACATCAAAATGTCAAAATCTGGTGTAACTAAGAACTGAAAAAAATCCATAAAAATCAAAAATAGGGTAGGTTTTGTTGGCTGATATTTTTTTACACATAGGTTTGATTATTTTTTTAATATAAAACAATGTTGAAAAACTGAAATAACATGTTTCCAATTTGAAAAATTCTGAAAATATTGTTTAAGTGATGTTGACACTTGACATTATTCACAGTGTTTGAATGTTTTTCCAGTTTTACTTCATAAACAACACAGTTTTTCAAAGCATTTCAATTGCTATGAAGCTGTAAATGCCGAGGAACTTTTTCTGGCCCACTCTGTCTGTTACCAGGTTACCCTTTACATCTCCTGCAGGTTGGTACACTCAAGTTTCATCTTTCTGTGTAGTAACAAGTTTCAAACACTAGAAGTCAACTCAACAGGAGATTGCTGCTTAAGACCTTACACAAGAGAACCCATAAAGCAAGGGTGCCCATGTCCTAGCGCTTTCCCTGCCCCATCCCCTGAGAGATGGAAAGCATTGACCAGCTGCTCCCCCAGTAACCAGGCAGCGAACGAGCAGAGGATGCAGGAACAAATTACCTACTGCTGGGAATTAATGCAGCTTCACTGGAGTCACTGGAGCTACACAGGTTAGTATCAGGAGGGAATGTGGCCATGGAGGACAACCCAGACATTTCCAGGGAGTAGCTCCAGGCAAAGAGACGGGTTTTGGCTCTTGTGCGCGGTGCTGAAACAACATGTGCTATGACAGACCCCGGTGGCTTGTAAGCTAGAGGCATGAAGATCACAGCACATCGTCACGATATTGCTGTAACTAATCTCTCCTTCAGTGATCTCGTTTGGTGAAGTGGCTTTTTTGAGAGTGATTTACTGCTACAAAAATCTCCCAGTGAAGGACCTGCAAGTGGCATAAATGTTACCTATGAGTGATTATTTTGTGGTTAGAGAAGCTGAAGAGCAAACTTGTCATAGGTCACAGGAAGATGTGTGGTAACGTTAGGAGCAGAAGTAAAATGTCCTTCCTTCTTTGAAACTTTTAAATATATTCAAGTTTATTAACATCCTTCATGTGAAAATGAATGGAATGGGTTTAGCTCACAATATTGTGTCACTTATATCCACACTTGCTTTTATCTGCTACTCCCATCCAAAGCTTTCATACTACATACACAGTTACTAAATGAGGTCCTCACACCATTGGTTCTCTTGCTGCCTCAAAGGAGTAGGAGCTCTTTTTGGCAAGGTTATTTGCAAATCCTTTTCCTTGGACTATGCCGCCTGCATCATGTTAAAAAAAAAAACAAACCAAAAACAAAAACTCAAACAAACCCTGAAGATAGAGTCTCAAGACGAAGAAGTTGATCCTGCCTTCAGTGATTTGGGATCACAAAAGTACGCTGGTGGTGTCACCTTCAGTTTGCAGAAGTGTAAATGAGATCTAAAACCAGGATGCATTTAACAGTTTACTAATTCTTTGGAAGATATTTGCAAGGGAATAGACTTAATGATGTACAAGACTTTTATGTCAGATTTCTATGACTCACTTCATATACAAAGCTGCTCTAGGAGGCAGTCAGTGACTCAGAGTGGATGCGTCTCTGGCATATAAAGTATTCATTTGTTCACCTTGATAAAAATGTCTAGTAGCCTCAGGAAGTCTGTCTGAACCATCACTTCCAAGCCACATTACATCCTTCTCAATATTTTTATGAAATATTTTAATGTCATTTTTTCACAATGAGATCTTCTGGTTATTACTCAAAATAACAGGTATATTTATTTTATTTTATTTTTACTTTATTGAAAGTATATATTACAGCAACAAGACCAGAAACTCTTTTGAAAAGCACTTGTATAGAAACTGAGCAGCTCCACTTAGGTTGGTACCCTGGCTCAAGAGCGCCAATTTCTCATTCAGGTCAGACTCTGGTCCACAAATTGTAATGCTTAAAGTCAACCTGGTTTTCCCACAAATATTAACGGGATCAGATTTTAGACCTTTATTTCTGTTACTTTTGATAGAATTATAAATGACAGGAAGTTAAAATGTGTTATATTTGCTTCCTAAAACAAACAATATTTTCTCAGCTTAAAAGAGAAGCTTTTCTTTGGCCTTCATTTGCTTCAGAATTAGACCACGCTCAACACGTGTGCACAGAGCCTTGCACACAATCTACAATGAAGTATTCACTCACTCGAAACCTTGAAGTGAATGCAAGAAGTATTTTATATCAGCATATCTGCTCAAAAATCATTCACAGTCAGTCTCTTACCTGCTGAGTAAGATCTTCCTTTTTGTTCATGTCCACTTCATTCTAGTTCAGGTCACCATTAGAAATGGCCCAGTAAAAATCCAGTAGAAACACATCCCATATTTATAGGCATAGATACAATAAAGGTTAGTTAAAACAGAATTGCTGTAAAGTTCTTTTCCCAGAAGGCCATGCAGATGATGAACCATAAATAGCAACCCCAATGTGTCAGGCCAAGGGCACTGCTTTCTGGAACAGCGTTGAAGTAGTAAACTGACAAATGGACATTATTAGCTGCCTGCCTGCCTGGAAACAAAGACAACTGAGTATAAAGCTGTTTTGCTCAACTTTTCTCCTCACAAAAGGCTTTTGTCCTATAACAAGCCATTTGTGTTCTGGAACAGAAGCTATTGTTAGGTTTCTTAGAGGTAAAACCTATACTGAGAACTATAACAACAGTATGTTATTGAGGCAGGGATTTGAAAGGCACAACACTCTGCAAGAACAACATGCAGTACTAACCTGTTATTCTAGGTGCTTGTATGTTGTTAATTAACATTAGTGGATCTGGTTATATTAAAATTGGGGAGAGGGGTCTTTTTTTGCATTAGATCTCTACAAATCTTTCAAATATTAGATGGTTAAGCTTGTCTTCCTCATGCTTTTTTATTTATCAGGCTTAACATGAATTCAGAGGACTGTGTTTAATTGACATTTTGTTCATTCAAGTTCCTTTAGTAGACATAACATTACTGGATGACCATATCAGGTGTGCTTATAGCAACCCTTCCTGACAACTGATCACTTAATAAACACAAGTAAGCAATATGTTATGGTTGGCATTTAATCCTGTGAAAACACAGGTTTGGAATTTTGTTATGTTTTAAAAAATAGTAAATGAAAAAATAAGTTTATTAAAATTAACACATCAAAACAGTGAGTATGGCTTAGGAGCTATAGTTCACAAAAATCTTAGGCATCTCAGTGAAAATCATAAACACAGGTGTGTGTCCAAGTCCCAAACTGTGATTCCAAAAGCAAAGAAAAGACAGAAGCAGGTCTTCTGGCTCTACATTTCTTTTCCATTTTGGATGCAAGCCTGAATAATGTTAGCTCACAGTTTGAAAAAAAAAATAAACCAACCAACCAATCAAAAATAATCCAGGAAAAGAAACAAACAAACTAACTAACCTTCAGGTTAAAAATCTCATTCTTCAGAGCAAGAAAAAAATTCTTCACAACAAGGATGGTCAAACACTGGCACAGATTGCCCAGAGAGGCTGTGGGGTCTCCATCCTTGGAGATATTGAGAACTTGACTGTGCAAGGCTCTGAGTAACCTGATATAACTTCAAAGTTGGCCCTGATTTAAGTGGCAGATCAAATCTGATGACTACCACAGATGCTATCCAGCCTATATTATTATGACTCATTTATACATCTTTTTAATGAATTGCATTCCTTTTTTGCAAGTACAGAACATCTCCACCATACTTTATATTCTCTTCTACTCTGTTCTGCTAAATGGAACATAAACACGAGAAAGAACAATTTGTGCTTTAAAGAGAGTAGTTTTTGAAGCACTACCCTGGCAAATTCTATTAGTAATGAATAATCTTTTCAGTAGCACTGGAAGGACCAGTTATTTCCACCTTAAGTGCCTGTGAAATCCTGCTAAAAACAGTGCTGTTTTGATCCATTTCATTTTGTAGACACAGTGAAATAGGAGAGGGTTCTCTGTCAACACGTGCCGGTGAGAGGCTGCTGGTTTCAGTAGAACTGTGCTGATCAGAGAAGCTGAACCAGAAACTGGTGGAAGCCCATTTCACATCTACCACAATACACAATCTACTGCAAAGAGTACAATTTGGTCAGTAATACTCATCATCTTCCCACCTTTGGCAAATAAGATAAACCAAGCCAAATCTACTGTGTCTGCATGAGGAATACCCAGTGTTTTGTAAAGAAACTGGTTTTTATATATGCATTTGGTATCAGTAAGCTTTTACAAAAATCTACTTTCATGTGGGTGCGGGAGTATCACTTCATAAAAACAAACCTCTCCATAGCATTTAAAAAAAACCCAACCCTCTAGAGACCAAAGCATCCTAAGAGGGAGAATTATTCTGTTAGTATCCAATAGAGAGAAGGGAACAAAAAATGAACAGGAACCTTGTTTATTTTACATTTGTCATTGAACTCTGAGTGAGAGGCGTTTCTGTTAAACATAATACAAAATACAGACAGTTTCAAATTGCACAGAAACCTTTTCTAACTATGTTTATCTGTGCCCAGATTGAATGGCCTTTGCTAGATGAGACGACACATTCTATGCAAAGTTAATAGGCCTAGAAAACTAAGCATGGTCAGAAGATTTCTGTGTTGGCCATCAAGAAAAGGTCAAAGAGTATGGAATAATGATTACTGCTTGATCAGGAATGCATCTGTGAGAAGCATCCCCACCACTCCCACCTTGTTGACCTCAGTTCCTGGCAGACAGATGGGATGGAGCAGATCTGACTCTTGGGCTCTTCTTCTTTCATCTGGTTGTCCTATCTTTCCTCCCCTCTGCCTTTCCCACTTGATCACAGAAGCATCTTCCAGTCTTTAATCCCTTTAGGTTGGTTTTAGCAAAATTTAGTTCACTTTCCTTGCTAAGAAGCCTTGAAATTTTTTCATTCTTAACATTAGCATAACTCTGTGCTAAAAGTGTTTTTAGCAAACCCAGTTCCACAAGGGTATGTATCATGTAGTCCAATATTTTGATATCTATATGTTCTTTATAGCACCACTGGAAAGGAAATCTCAGACATTCCATAAGGGTGTTTTCTGGATGAGAAGCTGAGATTTACATAAAGTGTTCCCTTTCTTTAAGAGTGTAGAACTGATATCATGAGTTTGCGTAATCATTTAATTTAAATATTCTGGGCTTCACCCACAGTTTGTCAAATACTAATCTAAAAAGCTAGACACTTTGGAAATACAACAGAGACGGAACATCACAGAAGTGATCACTTAATACTTTAACTACAAATACTTTTTATGCACTGTCTATGATGAATAAGTGGTAATGAGAAAGTGCAAACTGCTCATTATCCCATTAGCAGCTCTTCAGCAGCTGAAAAAGAGATAGAGCTTCTCTGATGACATCTACTGTAGCAAATAACTGTCAGTTTAGGGGAGCTCTCTGCTGGCAAGCTGCTAGCAACCTCTGGACCTACAATTTCACAATCATTGTGGCTTAGAATTAGTTCTGATTCCACCTCCCACTGACAGGGTTGGTTTTTACCATGTGTTTTCCAAAAAAAAGGAGGTTAAAATTACCACTGCTTGTACTCTCTGCTCATTTTCATTGGTTTTCCTGAATGGGAAATTTCTACATAATCTGAATTAACATAATTTTAAGTAGCAAAGAATTAAGCCCTGGGACATTCACCAGGAAACTTTTTTTCTACTGACTAATACAGGTTACTTTCAACTGTTATTTTCAGTGCATTCCCTGAAATGTCTAAACTGCTAAAAAGAAACTTTAGCAGCAGAGTTTCTGTATCTGGAATAGGTGTTGGATAGGACCTAATGGTTCTCAATTCGGAGGAAGGGAGGATTACATCCTGTCATCTGTTCATGGGGCTGGAAAATTTCTCAGAATAATTTTATCATATTTTTTATTATCTAAAGTTTATGAGAGGTGGTCACTCCTATTTCTAATGCTGTCAGGCATGCCAAAAAACACTTCTCCACCCTGAGGAGCTTCAAAAGTAGCTCTCTCCTTAAAGACAGCTGAAGTAAGTAACTAAAGTTTAACAGAGAAAACACTTCTCATGCTGTATGGGTATACAAGCTAGGATGGATTTTTGTGAGACTGTAAAGAAGGATATCTCAAACAGTTGTGGTCCTTATCTTCTCTTGCCACTTGGACCTGATTACAGGAGATCATAGAACAGGCCCCTGCAGGGATGGTCTGTCTCCTTTGATGTTGATTGACTTCACTTAACCATATCAACAGAACCGTGTCATGGTCAAACTGCACCTGCAGTCAGGCCAGTTACAGGGGAACTCAACCCCCAAAGGACCATCGGAGACCCCCAGAAGACCTCCCTGAACCAACTCCCTGACTCATTTGAGGAACTGTCTGGAAGATATCACAGGGCCTGTGTGGAAATTAATGCAGACTACAGCTGTAGGAGGGGGCTAGGTGTGCCGAACACTATAAAAATATAGCTACTAAGCTACTGGTAGTGCTCCATCATCCTGGATCTGAAAACGCTTCTGGACGATGCTGGAACCCAGGGTGGTAATCCTTCTATCTCCTTTCCCTCTTCTTCCCTCTTTTCTCTCTCTTTTTCTCTTTACCATTATACTTCTCTCTAATATGAAACCAGTATTCACAATCCCTTCATTAGCTGTTGCTTATTACTCATTGCTCAATAAATCTTTTACATTTTCTAATTCTTGGTGTGATTGCACCTCTTATGTTGTCTGTGGGAAACACCAAACCTAAGTTACAATCTGAAGCAAGTCCAGGGGTTACATTAGTCTGAACGTGACAATTTTGCACAGACTTATCCCAGGAGCTTTGGAGAACAGAGACCGTTGAGACTACCAGTTCCAAGGCTGGCAATTACATGGCCAGCAACAGGAGATATTCACTAAGTCTCTCCTTTGCCACCATAAATCTATGAAATTCTATACCAATACCTAAATGCTGGCATTGTGAGGCTAAAGAGACAATTCAAACATCAAAATCCCTTCAGGAAAATCCAACCTAATGTTTTCCTTCACAAATGGAATATATTTCTGAGTTTTCTTCTAACCCTGTGCCTTGCCATCATTATTAAACAACACTGTAGTTCATCTTGCACAATGTTGTCTTCTTAACTGTTTCTTCACAGCTGACATACAGTACTCTTCAGAATCAAGATTTGCGAAAGACTTCGTCTAGTTAAATCTTAGTTTATATTGCCACCTAGTAAAATATAAAAGTAGAAAAATCATCAGAGCTTGGAGTTGTACAGCTCCTTACTCAATATTTGTAGCTATAATTCTTCTAGG